CTTGTTCTATAATTGGATAGTACCTGTTGAACAGTGTATTAAATAAAATAAAAATATTGACGGAATTACATAACCTCAAAAATTATTTTTGTTAATAATTTACTTTTAGATACAGATTTTTTTCACATTTGGTAGAGTTATTGTTGGTAATAAATTCTGAAGAACATAAATGGTCCTTACTCGGTTTTCAAAAATTAGAAATTATTCTTCAAGTTGAGATCATAAAGAATCTTACAATCTTGTTCCAAGTCGATAACTCTTCCCTAGAAAAAAACAAATTTAATGTTTTATGATCGCATTTCATTGTTTTTGTTAGTAGAATATTTCCCTAATGATGAGTTTAGTCCTATCCCGTCTAATTTTAACTTTAACTTTAAGCCCAGGTATCAGTATGCGTGATGGTCGAAAAATTTATGGAGGGATTACACACACAAGCTTAGGAGGTACTTATTCTCCGATGGTCTGGCTCCAATAAAGACCTTAAAACAGTATCAAGTCTCGTCTAAGCCTTAACTCTATATCTTTATATCCGCTACTTCAGCGAGATCAGAAGTCTCAAGTCACTACTTACTGTCTGAAAGACATAATAAAGTTAAGGCTGATGCGAGGCTTGGTGTGCTGTGCCGTTACAAATTCGCAAATAGACTCTACTCAAAAATTGTTTGGTATTGTTTGTGTTGGTTGTCAAGACACTGATGAACTTGAGCAGACTCAAGAGAAAAACATATTGGATGTTGAAGAAACCAAATGAAATGCTGAGTATAAGTAAAATCAGGCTCAGTAAAAGACTCTTGATGGACTAAGGAAACATCTCTACAACAAGTAATTAGTAAAAAGCCCAATCTGATAGGGTTACAACTGGAAAGAAGAGTTGCGTATATTTGATGTTTAAATTTCTATGCTTAAATTCAAACTCTTTGGAAATATTTCTTAAATGCGAAGAAATTAAAATTAAATAGAATAGAAACTTTTCTACGCAATAATAGGAATGTAATTATGGTGGAGAATATTTATACTACTTTACTGATTTGAGACTTGCTGTACTCAAACGGTGAATACTGCACTTATGATAGACATATATGTATAAGAGGTTACAATTTATAACTGGCAAATATATATAACATTAAATTAAAATTGACTTTTGAAGTGAGTTAACGTGCAAGAAGACCATTTCAGCGGAGTGCTCCTCTCTATACCTATTATTGGTTACCAAGTGAAAATAGAAAGAAAGTTGCCAAGTCACTTATTAGAAATGAAAATGTAAATTGGAATAGTAGGAAATGAAGACCTCCATAAAATTAAGTCTTTCTAGCTTGAATAATTAAAGTTCCTAAAACATTTGATTCTGCAAGCTTATTATAATCATTGAACTTTCGAATTAAATAATATACAAGTACTACCTACAATAATTCTGAGAAAATGAGTTTAATTGTCAATAATTATCTCTGATTAAACTCAATCTTAATATGGCCCCTTTAAACAAATATCCATTATTCAGACAAAATATCCTTGAAGGTTAATTTTCTACCCATGAATGCAATAATTTTTTTATTTTAGAATAATCACATTAATCAAACAGATAGTAATTGATTAAACCCATTATTGTAATGCCAGCGTAATAATGAGAATGAATATGCCTGTTTGATTACCTTAGACGTTTCAAATTGCTACTGAAGTAAACAAATAAGAGGATTAATATTTTCGCAAGTGATGTGTAAAGTAAAAGGCTTGTTTGTAAGTGAGGTCAAGCACCTATATAGAATTAGACTGATACTATATTTAGTAGTAAAATAATTATTGAGCTACTATAGAATTCATCTTACAAACGAGGAATGGAATGATCATTATTAATTGGAAAATAAGGTTCTTACTTCTTACTTATATTTTATGGTACCATGCGACTGGTAAAACAGATATTTCATTTATAATTTTGTAAAAGTTCTTTGTTTTCGAAAATTTTTTTAAGAATAATAAACAGGGTTGTCCAAACTGAACATGTAAATGCTTCTTAATTAATTTCAAAAAGTTTTATATAATAATCTTGTTTTTTCAAACTCCCTACTCAAAATACCTGAATAATATTATAAATTAAATATACGAAAGGAACTATATTTTACTCATTAATTTTGTTATTTACGCCAATAAATGTTTGGCCCAAGTTTAATAATATAGCTAACTGTTCCTTGAGGAACTGAGGATTAAAAATAAGGTAGAACAAGTTCAATGTATAGGCATTAAAATTAATGTAAAGGAAATTAAACATGACTGGCCTACTTATTTGGTAACTGCTTTACCACTTGAGGTCAAGATCAAGAGCTTACTGTAATATTCACTGTGTCCCTTATTTCACGCAACACTGATTTCGATTTCGACTTTGACTTCGGAAATAACTGGAATTATTTGATTTTTAAAAAAATGCACTTCATTATAGAATTTTATATTTTCTGGTAGTTGAAACTATTTGTGTTTTAAATTAGGTTGTGGACATTTAAATAAAGAAATTACGCACGAGGAAAATACTATAAATATAGCCTCCGGCCTTTCATAGTATAACTGGAAAAAGTTTAAATGGTAAAGACTTTAGTAAAGATCATGATACACAGTGGCGTCCTATATTTACACTTTTATACGGTTATAATTTATATTTATATTTTTATAAGGACCTGGACAAATTTGAATTTGGGACGACAATGCCATAAGAACGTAGTTTACTCTTAATTCTCTGCAGATCACGCATGAGTCGAGTGAACTGTCGTGGTATTTTGGTTCAGTACTGTCTGACATTTCATCATGGAAAGACTTAGCCCGGCACAATGTCTACAAATAATTCAGCTATACTACGAGAATCAGCGTTCTGCGAGTGTATTTCGTGCTCTTAGACTCTTAGAGTAACATATGGTCTACATAATCGGCCCACCGAACGCACAATTCGCTACACCGTCGAGAAGTTTGAAACCAAATTTTCATTATTGGATAATACGCGACCAAATAGACGGCATACAGCACGAAGTGCAGAAAATATTGCGGTGGTAGCCGAGAGTGTACGTGATAACCATAATGAATTAATTCGGCGCCGATCTCAACAGCTTGGCTTGTCGTATGCAACAACTTGACGTATTTTACGTAAGGATCTTGGTTTGAAAGCATACAAAATTCAACTCATTCAAGAATTGAAGCCGCCTGACCTTCCAAATCGTCACCGTTTCAGTCTTTGGGCTCTTGAACAGCTTGAAGAAGATCCAATGTTCAGCGATGAGGCCCATTTCTGACTTAATGGCTATGTTAATAAACAAAATTGCCGTATTTGGGATGAAGAACAACCCGAAGAACTTCAAGAGCTGCCATTACATCCAGACAAAACAACGGTTTGGTGTGGTTTATGGGCTGGTGGAATCATCAGTCCATATTTTTTTAAAAATGAGGCCGGCAGGAACGTAACTGTGAATGCGCCCGTTATCGCGCCATGCTAACGGACTATTTGCTGCCTGAAATTGAAGCCCGTAATCTCGATGACATTTAGGTTCCAACAAGACGGCGCCACTTGCCATACAGCCCGTGCAACCATGGCTTTATTGCGAGAACAATTCGATGAACAGTTAATTTCACGATTTGGACCAGTGAATTGGCCTCCTAGATCACATGACATCACACCTCTAGACTTTTTCCTTTGGGGCTACGTGAAGTCCAAAGTCCATATGGATAAGCCGAATACGATTGAGGAATTGGAAGCCAACATTACTCGGGTCATTCGTCAAATTCCACTCGAAATGCTCGAACGTGTCATCGAAAATTGGAACTTCAGAATGGACCATCTCAACCGCAGTCAAGGACATTTGAAAGAAATAATATTTAAAAAATAAATGTCAAAAATAGTTTTTTTTTGTATAATAATAAAGATTGCACCATAAAATAGAATTTTGTTATTTTTTTTGTTGTTGTTGAAAAAAGTACCTCTAAATGAATCACCCGTTATATATATTTGTGGATATATCATACTTATGTGCGCTTATTCAAACTTAAACGATGAAAGGAGTTTTTCTTAAGAAACAAAAAAGTAGTTTGTTGAGGCAACTATGAAATTACGAGTAAGCCGGACGAAGTGTTGATGATGACCAAAAAATTTAACAGTAAACCTTATTTGTTGTTTTCCGAGTAATCCTGTCATATACCCTACCAAAACCTACCGTCTTTTAATAAATTGTGAGCTTGCCAACGGAAGATTAACTTGTTAATCTTATACCATTTTAATGTTTTTATTAGGATTTCGAACAAGAGTGCGAGTACCTATCAATCACCAAAGCATCTAGCAAAACAATATTTTTTAACTGTAAAAATTTGTTTCTTGCTAAGCAGTGGGGGCAAGAAAATGCCAGAGGTATATTTGTAATTAGGGTACAGAAGTTATATTTTTAAAATTTTTGTTTGTGATTTCTTACTCAACTATACAACACAGATAGAAACGAACATCACTAGCAGGCCCAAATTCCAAATACGTACGCTTTTATCTTTAAACAATTTCATATTTTGAAATTTTTTCTTGTTTAAAAAATCTCTTCACTAATTCGACCCACCTAAATTCAATTCCAAAATTTGTATTTAGTACCTAAAATTGGATTAGGATGAGCTTTTTTTTTTAAAAATAAAAAAGAATTTCGAGGTCCAAAAATCACTTGTTCTAACAATAAGACCAGGTCAAAACCAATATTGAATTCCTTGGACCCGATTTTAGCGCCGTATTACCAGAGTAATTATTTACTTATTTAGTTATACCTGTTTACTACTATGACGTAAGAGTTCTACTTTGAATTTCTTGTCTTGTCAGATAAAAATATCTGTAGATCGGAAGTCGTTTAGCTTCTAAAAATATAAACATTATAGTGTACCTAATTTTTTTAACAATAAAGTAGAAATTCAGCTTTTCCGCTTTGCCTACTACATCCATTTTACCTTATACATTAAAAAAAATTTACTGGATTGAAGATAAAGTACATTTTTTTCAGGTGTACCACATGTGTGATGGACTTGGCAGGCAATTCAGTTACACCTGTCCAAACGCCACCCTCTTCCAACAAAGAATGCTCATATGCGACCACTGGTATATGGTGAACTGCAGCAGGGCTGAGGACGATTATAGTGCTAACCTTCTAATAGGACAGCAAAAGCCATTTGTTGAAGATACTGGATCTAACCCATTCCATCGAACCCCTCGGCCTGATTTATTGACTCACCCATCCAGTGAATCCGAGTACAACATAATTTACAGGTAGGATTTTGGTTCGCATGAGTAAATATTTGAATGAATACTTGTGAATAAGAATTTCGAAAAATTCTAGTGATTTTAAGGTAAATTAGTAATACCTGTGTAATTTGTGTGCAAAAATAAGTGACTGAAAGTTTTAAATTGGATTGGAATATCGCATGCCGATATGAATAAAAAAGGATTTTAGTGGCAATTTGTTCTGCTTCCAGCTATAAACAGATCAACTGTTGTGTTTTAATTTTGATTTTTTAATTATCGGTAAAAGTGCTCGGTTTCATGACTTCCATGGCGTTGTTGCGTGCAAAATTATGCACAACAAAGTACCCATAAATCTGAAATGTACGACTTACTGTCATGTAGGTCTTTACAGCAAAGCTTTTAAATTTATAACACCTTGGCTGTTTTTAGTCTTTAGTTAACTATTACCATGATATGAACTATTACCGAACTTCTATTAGAGGGGAGGGGCAACTGCTCCCCCTACTTCAAAAACGGCACCCGTGATCATAAAACAATTTATATTTAACAGCTTCTTATAGTTTCAGTATTGATACTATTAAAATCATGATGACACTGGTTACAACAGCACTATATAAAATATTTGTTTTGCTTCGATATCTTTATAATTTAGATTTTAGATAGATTTTTGAAAAAAAAGCAGACAAAGGATATCGCTTCTAATGAATTAAGTGCACGGTTAAACTTCTGACATATTTACTGAAATATAAATATTTTTAAACATATTTAATGATTTCTTGATAATATTTTTATAATAAAAATGTCATATCAAACAAAATATAACCATTTTAACCTTTTAATAGATAGAACAGACAGATAATGTTTCACCCTGTAGAACTACCATTTTTTTATTAGCAAATGTATGTAGTCATTAAATTTTCTTTTTAATAGGACTGGAAAGGAGCGTGATAAAACTCGTACAAACATAGTTGGTGCTGAACAAGAAAACGAACAATCAGCAGACAGTGATGAACCAACTTATTTCCCTCCCAGTCATTGGTCTACAGCTTACTCTTCCCAAACTTCTACCGTCAGGCCTTTTAGGGATAATAATGAAAATCGTAGGATTTTAAATCAGGGTAGCAAAACTATCTCTTCTGGGAAGAAAACAAGGGGAAAACCAAAGGCTATCAATTTTGGTTCTTCCAATAGAAATGGTAAAGTACATTTTGAAAACTATTTTCTCTAACTATTTGAGTATTTAGCAATATGCATTTTTCAAAACTTTCGACAGTTTATTAATGACTATAATTTTCAGGTAACAACTTTGAAAATTCACCAAAGTATAAAAATGAAGGAAAATATAATGCAGCTCCAACTGCAGTACCTGTAAGTTACAGATCCAATTTTAGAGCTACAACACCAGTCTTTCCCGTAAAGGTAGAGGAATCATCTGAACCTCCAAATGATGTGGGGGTATTACCCCCAATTCCTTACAGGAACACAAAAACCAAAAACAGAAATTCGCAAACTGATCAAACACAGGTTAATTTTAAATCCAATTTCCCAGCAACCACCCCAGTATTCCCCTTAACGGTGGAGGATAGTTCGGCCGCTCCCAATGACATCGGAATATTACCGCCTATTCAACAAACAAGTAGACAAGCTAGAAACAAAACAAGTAGGAGACCTCAGGTTAATTTTCAGTCCAACTTTAAAGCTACGACTCCTGTATTTCCTTTGACAGTTGAAGAGGCATCTGAAACTCCGAATGACCTTGGGATACAACCACCTGAAAAAAATGATGTAACAACAGAAAACACACCCCAAGTAAATTTCAAATCAAACTTTCCAGCAACCACGCCAGTTTTTCCCTTAACAGTAGACGATTCATCAGTAGCACCAAGTGATATAGGAATACTACCGCCAGACTCAAATGAAAAAATAAAGAATAATATTAACATGCAAACCGAAGTCCAAGTCAACTTCAAATCTGATTTCAAGGCTACGACTCCAGTGTTTCCAGTCACGGGTGATGATTCATCTGTAGCGCCTAGTGATCTTGGAATACTGCCACCTGAAAACGGCCAAGTCAATTTCAAATCAAACTTCAAAGCTACAACTCCGGTTTACCCCAAATTTGTTGAACCTAAGGAAAAAATAGAAATTTCAAATGTCCCACTTCAGAAAGAAACTCATGTTAACTTCTACTCAGACTTTAAAGCTACCACTCCAGTTTATCCTAAATCTGTTGAAGCAACAAGTCCGGATCCAGGAGAAGTAGGGTTATTGCCGCCACAATCCAATGGTACCAGACCGCAAGAAGCTGAGGATACTCCTAGTTCAAATGAGGCAGTGCCTGATATACTGCTATCACTTGTGCCTCCTGAGTTTGATCCAAACTTTGAGAAAACCCACGAGAATATTGAAACAACACCATCAGAACCATCTATGTTTTATCAACCTCCGAAATTCGACCCCGATTTCACCGAGTCCGATTCCCAGTCAAACGTTAAGCTAGGAATCGAAATAGAAAATATTATGAAGTCTTTAAGCAAAGAGCAATGGCAAAATATACGACAGCGGTTCCATATACCTGAATACGAGTTTCCTTTAGATGATGCTACTAGGCCTAGTTACGACAGTATTGCCAATTCGTTTGGGAATAAGCGATAATACTGAAGATATTTAGTTACCCTCAACGAGATATGGCAAAATTTAGTGAAGTGTGAAGTGGTACAAACTTATTTTCTAATACATTTAACAAATCAAAAGACATGAACTGTAAATAAGAAGTAATGCTAAAATAATTAGTTATGCACTTTAAATTTAATGAACAATATTTTTTGCAAATATAGTAAAAACGTAATGATGGCCATATACCAAGAAAATTAGTAAAGTATGAAATTGAATTGTAGTTTTTAATATTCATAGACCATTTATCTAGAAGCCCAAGTATTCAGAAAAAGCAATAAAGTATGTTTCAAATAGACATAGACAAACAAGTTGAATAATTACGAATATTTAGTGTAGAAAATGTAAGTTTGATTGATTATTTTATGATGATCCAAATTTTACTAATTTGCTTCTACTTTTCTTTTCTTGAGCGAAATTATTTGTTTTCTATGTAGAAGTAGACTCTAGATATTTGTTTATTTCTTGAATCTGATCTCCAGCAATTATTTGTTTTGGTTTTTCTTTTTTAATAAGAAAAAAAAATATTAATGAATATTAAAAATTAAAGTATGTACTTATTATTAGATTTTACATACAAGGTGTCGAGTGGCTATGAGCAAAAAATTTAAGGATACATTCTAAGAGATTTTTTTTTCAAATTTGGTACAGTTGTTATTGATAACAAGTAACAAGCTACATCTACAAAAAAATATCAATTAATTGATAACAATCTGTCACATGCAGTTTTTCAAAAAAAAATAACAATTTCAGTTTAAAGATTATTAGGAAATCTTAAAAAAATATTCTCTTGTTCCAAGCCGATAAAACTGAGAAAGTGAAAAAAATGGTACAATTGAGATTTCGAAAATTTAGCATTTTTATATTTTAAGTAGAATCACCCCTTAAATATTTTGGCCAATGGTTTCTAGATACCCTGTACAAATTGTTAATTTTTTTTAAATGTAGTGTCATTTAGGTAGGGATATTTCTAAAAAATCAATAATTATGCTAAGGATAATTTTTAAGGAATAAATCTGTCCTTTGCAGTACAGTGCTTTCATAAATGATTACAAGCCACGTGACTAGTAATTTTGTTTGGAACAGTAATTTTATTTCCTTCATGTTGCCAAACAAATTTCAGTAAATTTAAAAATGTTTAAACCAATAAGATCAAGATTACTTTAAAACACAACGTTCTGTTGTGTTCTGTTCTCGGCGATTACGTGGCTTGTAAACATTTATGAATGCTCCGTATAACTTTTCACATTTCAGGATTTATCGAATTTTCTTTAGTCATTTACCAGTAAGTCCTATATATACAAATATAATTAAAATTACTGGTAATGCAAGACAAATTAAATTGCAAACATTATTTTGTGGAGAAATTAGCTTGAATTAGATTTTATACCAAAGCAATTATTCTTGGTTTAAAACTGCCACTGGTTTTTGGTTTCGGTGAAAATTTTTATATTTATGTTCTTGCCATTTAAATGAGATGGAGATTTAACTAGTCAAGAAACCACTTTAAATGGCATGAATATTGTGGTAGAGAAGTAGATTTATTAACAATGTACATAAATAGAACCCTAAGTATATTTATTGATAGACAAAAAATGTAGCAACTTAGATGTTTAAGTTTTACATGTGTAAATTTATAAAATAAAAATTTGAACGAGCACGTTATTTTTTTTTACTTTTTCTACCTAAAAACAGAGAAACAGAAGGATGCATTTATTATTCAGCAGACAAGTTTATGAATGCATCTGTAAGATTTTAGGCAGGGTCATATTACACTAGTGGAAAATGATGGGCAAACAAAAAAAAATCATATCCATATCTTCACTTTTATTTATTTAAAACAATGAATTCAACATAAAGAAATTTCTTCATACATTTACTAATTAATTTTTTAGAGGCATATTAAGAATTTCATTTTGAACTCATAACCTATTTTGAAATTAATTAAAAATTGCTTTCTGCTAGTATATCTTTATAATCATGCAATCAGACAATAGGACGTGATCACTACCTGGTTAAGATGGATATAACGAAAAAAAAAAACAGATAAACGAAGAAACAGGGAAAAAAGTTGTAAATTAAAGAAAACCAATTATCAGAGAAGATATACTGAAATATAAAAGAAAAATTTAGAGAAACAATGTTTGGAAATGGAGTAAAGAGAAATGGGCAAAATTTAAAAATACTATACTGAACACTGCTACGCTAAGTTGTGAAAATGGAAATAATAAACAAGAATATGAAAATACAGATTGGTGAAGTTAGACCATAATAATGGCAAAAAAAAACTAAAAGTGGTGCGATAAAGATAACAAAATACGAATCATGGACAAAATTTGGAGAAAAAATTAGAGAAAGCTATAGACGATCAAAAATTATTCTATGAAACAATAAAACATAGAATTATAAAAAGTATAATATGATGAATATAAAAAGAAAGAGTAAAAATACAATAACTGATAAAGATCAAATAACGGACTGATAAAGACATTTTCATAAATTAACAAAAGTGGAAAAAACATAGGAAATATAGAAACAATTAAGAGATACGAACTCCATGTAAATGAATATCTTATCAAATTAGAGTGCACAAGTGTCACATATGCACCGAAATAGTGGAGGGGAGAAAACATAAATTGCAATATTTATTTTAATTTCCAGGTTAGCATATTTCTATTCATTTACTCGTAAAATTGAATTGGTTGTTTGCTTACTTCACTCGTATTTATCATACTACATTTAATTTCGATACAAAAGGAAAACTAGCGACCCTAGTGTTAAAAACTATATGTAGTTTCTACTACTACATTGACAAGTTTTGTCAATTTTCCCATGAGTTCAGTCTCCTTGTCTAGTCTCCTTGCCATAGCCAATAAAATAGGATATAGTCCGGGCGAATAAGTTTTTTTTTTTTCAAAAATTGGGCCTACCTCGAATTTTATAGGCTTAAAATGAAGTAAAAAATACACAGAATAAAAGTCTAATTTGTGTATTTGTAGAAGTCGAGCGTCATATTGTTTATAACAAAAGAAAAAAAATAATTGCTCTTTTTTCAGTTTTTCGCTTATATTTCCAAAAATAAGCCTCTAATAGACATGAGGTATACTAATCGATTTTGTTCCTGAGGAAATTTACTACAGGATAGGCTTTTGCGAAAACTCGCAAATTTTTTTTTTACTTTGCAAAATTAGCGACGAAAAAAAAATGTGCAAAATTTTCAGCATTAAATAAAAAGAAGGAATTTGACTGAAATTGGATGAAACTACAGGGAAATATAACTTTTCGGGTACTCAACAAATACCCGCAATCCGGACCCCCAATTTTAAAATGGCGGCCTATTGCAAAATTATAAAGTCGAAAACGCAAGCGCGTGTATCTTCTGCCCAAATCAAGGTATCGAAATTTGGTAAAAAAAGATCGAAAGGTAATTACTTTATCTCGTGTATGTGTAAATTTCAGGTTTTTTAGGTGCAAAATAAACGTTATTAACAAAAAACCAAAAAAAAAAAAAAAAACGGTAAACTAGGGTTCTTATCTCGGCAATTTTTTAATATACAGATTTCAAACCAATTACATCAAATAGTGCTTAAAAAAACATGAATTAAGAAAAAAAGCGTCACGATCTGATCAATAGGAGCCATAATAATTTTTTTTTCTTTAAACGGTATTTTGGCTGTTCTATTTAATATTTTGTAATAAACTTGTCACATAAAGTAGAAGACTTCCTTCATAGGCTGAATTTTTTTTGATTCGATTCGACCAAAAAGTGACCAAGTAAATGTTCGTTAAAAACAGTGTGATCCACGCGGCTGAGCGGTAGCCAGGAGAGGGGAACAGTGTGACATCATAGTGCCCATACTGCTCTCGTCTTCTCAAAATTCTTACTTGACAAATGGATTGTGGCACTTAGAAAGCAGCTACCAGGATATTTTTTTTAAATCAACTTATTTTTTCCACTCTTTCGAATGGTGTAAGCAAAAATCTGTGAACGTCATCGCCAGATCCCAAAAAATACATTTTTATTGACTTTTCACATTTTCTTTTGTAATTTCATTGTGCTTTCGATATTTTGAAAAGTAAGGAAGGTTTCAAAGAAATAATTGACTTTTATTTTTGAATATGTAAAAAGACCTCCTAAAAATAAGTTGATTTAAAAAAAAAAAGCATTCCGGTAGCTGCTTTCTAAGTGCCACAATCCATTTGTTAAGTAAGAATTTTGAGAAACGTTCGCAGTATGGGCACTATGACGTCACAGCACTTCCTTTAACACACGTTTATTTGGTCATTTCTTGGTCGAATCCATTAAAAAAATTCAGTGTATAAAGGAAGTCTTCTACTTTATGAGCCCAAGTTTATTACAAATTGTTGAACAGAAGAGCCAGAATACCATTTTTAAGAAAAAAATTATTTCGGCTTGTATTGGTTGGATCGAGACTTTTTTTTTTAAATTCAGTTTTTTTAAGCACTATTTGATGTAATTGGTTTGAAATCTGTGTATTAAAAAACGGCCGAGATAACGACCTTAGTTAGTATTTTTTCTTTTGGTTTTTTTGTTAACTTTTTTATTTTGCAACTTAAAAATCTGAGCTAGACAATGTAATTATCTTTCGATCCTTTTTTAACGAATTTCGATATCTTGACTTGGGCAGAAGATATACGCGCTTGTATTTTCGACTTTACAATTTTGCAGTAGGCCGCCATTTTGAAATTAAGGTTCCGGATTGCGAGTATTTGTTGAGCACCCCAACAATTATCTTTTCCTGTAGTTTCATCTAATTTCAGTCAAATTCATTCTTTTTATTTAATGCCAAAAATTTTGCACATTTTTTTTCACCGCTAATTTTGCAATGTAAAAAAAAATTTGCGAGACTTCACAAAAGCCTATCCTTGTAGCAAGTTTCCTCAGGAACCAAATCGATAAGTGTACTTCATTTCGATTAGAGGCTTTTTTTAGGAGATACAGTAAGACCCCGCTTAATGCGTAGGATACGTTCCATCAAAGTAGAGCGCTAAACGAGGCTATCTTGACATGTAAATAATGGGGTTAGGGGAAGATGGATAGAAAATTGATTAGGTATTAAATTTAATAATTATGTTTTTTTTAATAAAAATAAAACCAAACATTTATTTCTTACAAAAATAAAAACAATATAAATGAATATTACTTATAAAAACAAATAAAATTCTAAGTCAGTCAGATCATTCAGTCTATTCTGTTTCCAATTTTCTGCCTTTTTGTCAAGAAGGCATCTAATGTAGTTTGCGTTTTCCTTTTGCGTTCTGTTAGAAGTTGTTGATAAGTGGATAAAGCATCTATAACACCCCGTCTTGCTTTTGAACTCCTGTCAAAATTTGGATCATTTTCAACAAATTGGTCCATAATTTCAGTTATAGTGGTCAAACTCCTTTTTACAAACGCAATCGAAAGTTCTTTTTGCTCTTCTTCGAAATCACTACTATCAATACATTAATGTCAACAAATGTTTCGACTGATAAAAATGCGTCCGTACAGCACCGCACCAAACAAGAAACACAACTACACTGTTTCGGATAGGTTATGTACATATTTGGAAACCTAGCACTGCGCACAATTTCGGGGAATCCCCGTAGTGCTGCGAGCAATTTCGGGGAATCCCCGGGTTGAAATAAAAGAGCGCTAAACCGAAACAGCACTAAACGAAACAGTGTTAAGCGGGGTCTTACTGTATAAGCAAAAAACTGAAAAAAGAGCAATTTTTTTTCTTTTGGTATAAACAATATGACGCTCGACCTCTACAAATACAAAAATTTAGGCTTTTATTCTGTGTATTTTTTACTTAATTTTAAGCCCATAAAATTCGACGTAGGCCCGATTTTTTAAACAGGCATGTGTTTTGTCAAATTCACCCAGATTAATAATGAAGGTGGTTTAAACATGTGTATGACAATTGACAAATTAACAAAAAGAATATATGAAAAGTGAATGCCAAAGACAATAAAAGAGGAGGACCAGGAAAATATGGCAAGACAGAATATGAGAAGCAGAGAAGAGAGGAACAATTTGGGAAGGAATCAAAAAAGTGGCATAGGATATGATGGAGAGAGTGTAGATCAACTCAGCAACAAACTCACCTGTGTTTTACACTCAACGGTAGAAATTAAATAACTAAAATTTTATCATTCCATATTTTTTTGTATTTATGTTTAAACCTGTTTTTCTCCTCTCTTATATCTTAAAATCACTTTGTATATTTTACATAATTTCTTGGCAACAAAAATCTATTCGCTGGTGGTTAGGTTATCAGACTTTCAACCACATTATTATAGTTTTACTTAATGCTAGCAAATAAACTACATAAAAAATGTAACCATGTTTTAAATTACATACATCTTGGTGAATGCAATCAAAACAATTAGATGCAAAATAATTTACAAGATAAAAAATTACGTGTTTTTTTGTTAAAGTTTTATCATCCTGTACCACAAAAAATTAAACATTACAGACCGACCAATATATGAACTGTCTCTTATTTTTCGTCAGAGAAACGCATGTAGAATTTTTTTAAGTAACACCCTGTATAAAATCAAAATCTACATTTCCTAGTGTGTTCTCACACAAATAATTAAGACAAATTTGTTTATCTACTTATTAGATCAAATAAGTTGTCTTTTTTATTGAGAATATTTTCGATAAAAACATTTATCTCGTCCAACGACTATCCAAATTTCAAAGATTCAAACATACTTAAGAAACACCATTAAAAAAATAAATTTTTAATTTGTGCAACGTGCATGATATAATTTATTATATACACAACAAATTACTGAATAAATAAATAAGCAATTTCGAGTATCTTTTCACTTAACTAAACGTAACAATCGAGAAAATCACCTCAAATTATGAATCTTCTGAGTTACCACACTGGGCATTAAATGCTTCAGTACCCTCGGCATGTGATGCAGTTTTTCCATTACCGGATGAGGAATACTTTCCGTATCCGTGTAATTCACAGTATGGCCTTCGGGATACTGGTACCGAATGTGGTGTTTACCGTCCACCCAGAGTTGAGACCCGTCTTGGTAGCGGACTTGCACCTCGCCGTTCGGCAACTGAAACGCTATACCTACCCCAGGAATTGCAACCCTTTTCTCCCTCACGTTGCTACTGTTTCCAAACGAGGTGCCTGGGGCTGAACTGTCAATAGAAACAGTAAACGAAGGCTGTAAAAAATGAAATGGAAACTCGATATTAACAAGTTACGTAAACCCAAAGTTTTTTTTAAATATTTTTCCATTACTATTATTATTATTATTTTTATTAGTGACTTTTTTTTATAGGGATGTTGAATAAGTTCTCGCTTATTACCAACAGATCGAAATTATATAGTTCTGTTAATATTGAGCTTTCAAAAAAGTAACAAGAACTTTACTATTATTTTAATGAGTAAAATAACTTCCTTTGTTTGTAAATTTAAAATACTTACTATTGCACTTTGTGGTCGATTTTCTTTGCCTGAAGATCCGGCTAAAACTGGCCTGCGTCCGACTATTACCGGAAAAGATGTACGTGGCAGTTCGGACAGAGTTTTCTCCAACAGTTTACAATAGTTAAGAGAATCTTGGGAATGGCTCCATAATAGGTCAAGAGTTCCCGTCAGATTTCTGCACTCGTGTTCCGTTTGAAAATTATATTTGTTACCCGATGCGTCGATAATAGTAATACCTTCGGTTGATGACTGAGTAATCTTAGCACCTACAGACGAACACATATTTCAGCTTAAGATGATTGACCTAATCTTGCCTCTATCCAAAATTATTATTTTAGCCCTTAGAGGACAGTAAACTTGGTAAAAAATTTAATTTTTTACAAATAATTCTAAATCGCTTTACACAGACTGTAATTTTAAGAGATCAGATTTTTTGAGGTAACAGTCAGTGTTTCCCTCAATACAAATATGAAATAATTTTCTTTTAATCAAATAAATAATTGAACTAATTCGTTTTTTAAAAATATACTTCAGTGAATTTTCACTCGAGACTTAGATATCGTTAATTCGATTCGTTTCACAATAAAAAATAAATAAAAATACTAATATGATAGATTGGAAAATTTTTTAAGGTCGTTTCTTGTTTTAAATAAAAACTTACTACTTTTTTTAGCCTCTTAACCGGCACACATCATATTCTAAATATAGTAAAGCAATGGTATGTAAAATCACAGCATGCACATTTATCCGTCATAACCATTGCATATTTTTCACCTGTGCAAGTATATGTCTTAGCGATACCAAATAGGGTAGAAATCAAAAGATGAATGGTAAATCATGAGAACTTTTATTGGAATTTTCAGAATAATCAAAATTTTCCCTTAATTCGAGAGCAATCACATGATGAACACCTCCTTTTAACATGTTGTAGCCCACCTCAATGACACAAAGAAACTGCTTTCAACAGATTATTTTAAAAAACATATTGAATAGTTTTAAAGATGGGGATGTGGATGCAACATTAAATTACTTTAAATTTGCATATACAGGGTGGCGCAAACAGTCCACCTGAAATATTTTCATTGCAACAGGTTTTTCCGGAAAACCCCGAAACAGGTCGATTTTGCTTTCAAGGGGGACATCTTTTGACCATAAATTCATAGATGTAGGGTCATCCCCCTAAACAGGGTTGCAACCCCTTCAAAAATCTTAAATGGCACGAGGGATTAAGTGGCACATCATTTTAAAGGTATTTCAATTCTCTTTACAAAAATGCTTAATTTTTTTTTGTTCTGGCTGAAAATTAATGTAAAAAAAACTATTGAAAGTGTCGGTGAAATAAACCAAAAAAAGACTTGAAATAGTAATTACCGGATAATGAAACTGTGAAAAATGAGGTTTATCATTGAAATCTTGATAAGGCATGGGTTTTATTAGAATTTTATATGTAGTTTTGTTCCAATTTTACATCAATCAGAATTGTCTAGATAATGAAATCCATTGATTTGTTATTATTCGCTACTTTGAAGCAAACGATTCAAATGATCACGGTTTATACCACTGCAGAGAGAATTGAAATTGTCATTCTCTATTTTGGAAATAATGAAATGGCTGGGTAACTGCAAGAATTTGAAAACGATGATCAGATCCCAGAGAATGATGTATTTTTTCAACAGGATAGCGCTCCGACAGTGCTGTACGTGACTATTTGAATCAACATTTTCCCAAACACTGGATTGGTAAAAGGGGTTTCATTGAATGAACCCAAGATCGCCTGATTTAACACTGATTACTTATGGGGTCATTTAAAAAGTGTTATTTATAAAAACAAACCTACCTCTTTAGAAGATCTTCACAACCGAACAGTGACAGCATGTGATGAAAATGTTGATCAAAGGTTTTACTACTGTATAAAAGTAAATGGGTCGCAATTTAAACACTTATAATTAATTAAAATTTGTTTGAAAACTTTTTTTTTTTATTTTACCGACACCAACAGATTTTTTACATTAATTTTAAGGAACAAAAAAATGTTTGTAAAGGGAATTGAAATACTTTTAAAATGATGTGCCACTTAATCCCCCGTGCCATTTATGATTCTTAAAAAGGTTGCCACACCGTTTAGGGGGATGATCTTACATCCATGAATTTATGATCAAAAGATGTCCCCCTTGAAAGCAACCTGTTTCGGAAAAACTTGTTGCATTGAAAATATTTCAGGTGGAATGTTTTAACTGGGCCACCCTGTATGTATATAAAGTCATCATAACAGTTACAAGGTTAAAGCACCCCACACAAACCTTATGGGAAACTCCATTCGGACAATTTTAATGAAATTTTGGGAATAGGTTGTTTTTGTTATGAGGAACAAAAGTGTTCATGGGCCCAAAGTTCGCTAATGGACAGTTTCCGAGATAGTCGATGTTAAAAATTGATAATGTGAATGCGTGTCAAGCACGTGTTTAAATGCTTATTAGTCCCGCAAAAGCTCCATGAAGCTTCTTAAAAACTGTATAATACATATATATTTGTCTAAATAGTGCGTATTCATTCGTTTGTGTTAGTGTGTGTGTGCGTGTGCGTACGAGCGTGTGTGTATGTGTATACTTTTCAGTTTTCATAAACAAATAAACGAAGAGGCTGGGAGTAATGCTATAGTAATACTTCTATATTCACGTGCAATCTGGTCAGCACACTTAGCCATTCTTCTCGATCAATTATATATTTTATTTGAGTTATTATAGCGTATGATTGTATCCAAAGTAACTCCAGAGTAACACCCAAGATAGAGTAGTCGAAGCAACTTTAGCATACAGTTTCTCGCATGTTTTTAAATCAGTATTTCAAAATATATATCGAAAAATAGCGTGTTTTTAAATATACCTACTTATTCTGTTAGCAAAAAATATTCTTCTTTATTTAACATCGTAGTTTAGATATCCAACTGTGAGTAATCTATCGATATCGATAGCAGAGAATATTTTATGTGAAGATATTAGAAATATTACTACTACTACTATTATTTATGAGTACGTCAAATATTTAGAATGTTGAAAAATATCAGTTTCGTTGGACTTATGTCAAATAGTTTTTGCTGTGTTATACTCCCGATAGTGCTTTGGTCATTTTTTCACAGGTGTGTTCATTTTGTAATTAGCAGTTGAGCTTGTTCCAATATAAATGGCATTCATACAATATTATAGTTGCGATCGGGCTTTCACCCCGTGAAATATGTTAAATTTAAATAGAGTGGTAACGGTAAATGTTGCTGTTTTTGGAGATATTGCTATAAACCGATGAAATGACGCAGGTCTGCCTCCAGCAATTGTTACACCCGAGACTCGAATATGTAATAATTGCTTCCAAACTATTCGTCGTGAAATTGAAATAGTAGATAGAGCAATTATTACACATTCGACTCTCAGGTGTAACAATTGCTGGAGGGAGACCTGCGTCATATCGTCGATTTATAGCAATATCTCCAAAAACATCAACATTTACCACTCTATTTAAATGTACCATATCTCGATTGCAACTATAACGTATTTATAATCTGAAAGCCATTTATATTGCAACAAGCTGAACTGCTAATTATAAAGTGAACACACCTATGAAAAAATTACCAAAGCAATATCGGGAGTATAACACCAAAAACTGCAAGTGAATGGTAATTGAACAGTAATATCAATTAAGAACTATTTGACAATAAGTCCAACGAAACTGATATTTTTCAACATTCTAAATATTTGAGATACTCATAAATAATAGTATAATATTTCTAATATCTTCACATTAAAATATTCTCTGCTATCGATATCGATAGATTACTCAGTTGAATATCTAAACTACGATGATAAATAAAGAAGAATATTTTTTTCTAATAGAATAAGTATATTTAAAAACACCCTATTTTTTGATATATATTTTGAAATACTGATTTAAAAACAAGCGAGAAACTGTATTCTAAAGTTGTTTCGACTACTCTATCTTGGGTGTTACATTGGATACAATCATTAGATTGTTTTCAATCATACGCTAATAACTGAAATAAAATATATAATTGATCGAGAAGAATATATACGTATTATACAGTTTTTAAGAAGCTTCATGGAGCTTTTGCGCGACTAATAAGCATTTAAACACGTGCTTGACACGCATTCGCATTATCAATTTTTAACATTGAATATCTCGAAAACTGTCCATTATCGAACTTTGGGCCCATGAAGACTTTTGTTCCTCATAACAAAAACAACCCATTCCCAAAATTTCATTAAAATCGACCGAACGGAATTTCCCATAAGGTTTGTGCGGGGTCCTTTATGAATATCAGTGTTAATGTCATCTGACATTCACCTAGTTTAGGTAAACTACATAATGAAACGAGAATTGCCAAAATATGTTACCACTTCAGTTTATTACATTTATTTTACTTTTCAGTTTATCGGTTTACGAGAAAATATTTCTGTTATATTACAAAAAAACATATACAAGGTGTCCATTCTAATGTACAGGGTGATTCACTATATTTTGACCCCCCTTTAATTTTTTTGTTTTAAGAGTTATAAAAAAATGTGAAATATATTGCATGAGTTTTTATGAATTTTTCGAAAATGATAGTAGAAAAGCATAATTTTTTTAATTCAATTTAAAAAAATATATTTCAAACAAAAGTTATCAGGATTCAAATTATGGTGACCTTAAAGTCAATTATCAAGGTCATTTCAAGGTCAACCTTGATTTTTTAAATGGAAACCTATATTTTTTATTGTAGATTCGTATAACTTTTGTATGAAAAATTGTTTTGAAAATGCTTCGTTCTCTCGCCAGAGTGTGCTATACTTCTACTGTTCTATTTTAATTGTCAAGCTAATATCTCGGGGGGGGGGGTGTCAAATTACCGTGATCTTGAAATTAACCTTAAAGGTCATTTCAAGGTCAACCTTGATTTTTTTATGGAAACCCACATTTTTAATACAGTTTCGTATTCTGCAGGGAAAAAATACATGTACAAACCCTGACAACTTTTGTTGGAAATATTTTTCACCATCCTGCTTATTTCTTGAGATATTAGCCTCAGAATTAAAATGGAACAGTAAAAGTATAGCGCACTCTGGCGAGAGAACAAAACATTTTAAAAAAAATGTTTTATACAAAAGTTACATATTTTTCCCTGCAGAATACGAATCTGCAATAAAAAACATGGGTTTCCATTTAAAAATTGACCTTGATAATCTACTTCAAGGTCAAATTCAAGGTCACCATAATTTGACCCCATCAAAACCAAATAACTTTTGTTCAAAATATTTTTTATGTTCATTAAATAAATTATGCGGCCTGGTACAATAAAATGGGACACCTTGCATATGCGAATCACAAAAGATGTAATTTAACAACAATGCATGATGTAGCTCCCTATTTAGTATGTGCTCACAGTTATAGTCGTTACGATATCAGTTGGAACCGCATAAAAACATTTAACTCATAAACTCTACGAAATCCATAGGTGTCCAAAAAAATTGTGTCCTGTCTCATCTACAAATACTATACTCCGAGCTATATTCCTATTTAGTTGACGATATCCTCAAATTTTTTCTAAATAATCTTCCCGAAGTGCAACTATACGTTGTGATTCCATAATTACCATACGATTGTCAAGTTTTTTATGTTTAAAACCGCATTGTAATAAAATATGTCGTAAAAAGATTTATAATTATAATCAGGATAATCACTTCATTTATCTCGAATCATGTTTAAAGTAGGAACTTTATTTTCTTTGTACATATAAATTGTGCGCCATATTACATCTCTGGTAAAATCGTCAATATTCTTTAATTTTGTATTTTTCCGTTTCTTCTTTGCATCGTGATTAATAACGTCTCCTTCTTTAATTACGCGATAAATTGTCGTTTTTGATATCTTAGTTAATTCGCTAATCCGTTTCCTAATTTCTTTATCACATTGTTCACTATTTTCTCTTTTCAAACATTCATATACAGGGTAGGAAAGTACCGATGGTCTATCTGAAGTTACGTGAGAGCGATAAAGTAAGCCATAGAAATTTATGTGATAGACAAGGATGGGTATAGTGAAAGCATCTAATTGTCACCGCCCATTTTGTCCTTCCACAAATAAGAAGTGGATCTTATTTGTGGAAGGGCGAAATGGGCGGTGACTATGAGATGCCTTCATTATAGCCATCCTTCTCTATCGCATGGATTTCTATGGCTTACTTTATCGCTCTCACATGACTTCAGATAGACCATTGGTACTTTCCTACCCTGTATATTTAAAGTAATACGTTGACTTGGTACATGTAAATCTTTGTTTTTAAACTCTGAGTTTGTTTCGACGCTTTGGACAAAAACCAGTTTGACTATTTGGGGATTTTCTCAGATTATTTCGTTATCTTCCGTTTCAAAGGGTCTCCAAAAAGCCATGCTAAATTACTAGATAATTACATATAATATTTATTTTAATAACTATTATCCTTTACTGGTTACAATATGAACAAATATTAATATAAACTAATAACTAATAATACGTATTATACCGACAATAAATATACCGTGCCAAGCATTGCTCTCCACGGCACTAACAAAGCCAAGTGAACCGCGTTTGACACCAAACTAATTATAGAATACCGTGCAAAAAATTATTTACGACCTAGTGGACCAATACAGGTTTGCTTTGATGACCAGCGCGCTGCAGTCGATTCTACATCAGGCGGACTCGTCTACCAATACCGGACTCGCCCAATGACTATTCGAGTATAAATTACGCGACACATCATGGCTAAAACATAGGAAGAAATTTCAAGAGAAGTGTAGACAGTCCTGTGCTTTCAAATTCACAGGTTCCAATTGATATCATAACAACTATTCTGTGCCCAGTTGTTTAAGATTACATAATTTGTCCAGCAGTGGAGTATGAAAATTATGAGAGATTTAAAAAACATTTTTCGCTTCCGAGTTTGTGACAACTAACTTATGATATGTCTAAGAGTTAAAGGTAGCATCCATATAAATATGACCTAAGCTCAAAGTTACACCCTGTATATTTTAAATTAAATTTAGTAGTTACGTTCCGTTTTTGACATAATAATTGCTATAATGGCATTTACAGAAATAGTAAAAATATACACAAAATATTGCAACATTCTGTAAACTTATTTTTTTGATAACTTGTTGACGCTTGAAAGTTATTTAAAAAAAATTCACTCACCATCATAAAAGCAAGTTTCGAAGTCGATCAAATTCTCCATTAGCAAACACTTCGCCTTATCTGTATAGTACGTTACTTTCGGCGTTTTTGCTCTAACAAGATCGACAAATTTAAAAGCGTACATGTACTTTTTCCAGTGCTTTTCCGGCAGATTTTCGATGCTGAATATTTTATCCGCCCCCTGCGAAGGTAAGATAGGGGGTTTGTCAGAAGGCGGCACCCCTTTACCGCCCTCTGGTTCATAAAGAATAATCCTCAGACCATCAGAGGATATCTTCATGACCTCGCAGACCATCTCTCTCTTCAACTGACCTCGTTTCTTGATAAATTCTATGCAGACTTCTCCGTCTTCTAAAATACTAAGTATGGCGTTCTTCGTTTGATGTCGCGTAGGTAATAAACGTTTGGAACAGAGTTGCACTAGTCCCTGATTCTTCGGCTTCTCAATTCTATTCGGTTGACAGGAAAATGGTTCAGGAGGCCTCGGACAATTCTCTATACTGTTTAATATAGGTTTGTGGTTCAGCACTTCTTGCGGGTAAGAGCTAGGTACGTAATTATTGGTATAATTACTCGTAGCCTCACTGTAATAGGGGTGTGCATCTGAATGATGCGAATTCGTAGGAGGTAAACTGAGTATCACGTGATTCATGATACCAACTGAAAGAAATAAATTATTATTATTGCTCATGTTAAATATAAATTGTGTCAGCACCACAAACAAACAAGCAAAGAGTATTTACAAGGTGTATGAATTAATTTTGAGAGATTTACAGTAGATGGCGTAAGTTATGCTATGTCGCATCAGACACTTCTCTAACTATATTCATGTCAAAGCTTTGTCATTATGCTTTATTTTTTATTATATGTCATTTTCCTGAAGCATAAACAACATATTTTTTCTCAACTCCAAGATATCGAATTGCGAGCCAATAAAACACCATATGCGGTGTTTGCGAACTTTTACCTTTTCTGATTAATTCAAAGAAAAGTGCTGCTGAAAGTCATCGCATCGATAAAAACATGTGAGTATCGGTCCCGAAGTTTTAGAAGTGGTGATTTCGAAACAGTTGACAAAGAACAATCTGGTCAACCGAAAAAGTTTGAAGATGAGGAATTGAAAGCATTACTCGAGTAAGATTTATGTCAAACGCAAGATGAACTTGCTGAATTGTTGAATATTGATCGCACAACAGTTTCCAAATGTTTAAATATGATCGGTATCATTCAAAAGCAAGGAAATTGGAGGCTATACTAATTGAAGCCAAGAGATTTTGAACGGCAATTTTTCACTTGTGAACAATTGCTTCAACAGCACAAAAGAAAGGGTTTTTTGCATCGTATCGTAACTGGTGATGAAAAATTGGTACACTATGATTCACAGGGAACATTCCCTAAAAATAAATTCCCGAGAACTTTCCATCTCTAATTATGAACAATGAATATATTATGATATGCCAGCAAATAATTCTTTATTAATGCCAGAAAGATTTCAAAATTAACACGAAAGTCATAGAAATCGGTATTTGAGAAGTGTTTTCACAACATGAAATAATTTATAATTTTAAGGGAATAAAAAATTTTGCTAACCAACATACCAAAGAAATAGGGCTGTGATTTATAATGTCAGTTGAACCTTTTTTATAAACTGATATAGCCTTCGCTACTGTCAAAACTTTTGGAAATGAATTACTACGACAATTATTTACCTCCTCCAGGCTCTATCGGCGAACAATATCTCTGGCTGCACTGACTTGCGCTGGGCGGCAAATCCTGACAACTATATTTGTTATACATCGGCTGTTCGAAGTTAGATTCTCCATTTGAAAACAGAGACATTTCATTTCTATTACTACACGAGTCAGAACAAGTTCTTAAATCTGTATGTCGAGATAAGGCATCATAACGTTGTATTCTCAACTGTTCCATGCTGTGGGTCAACCGTCCGCTTTGGAATAAGTTATCTGATGGGCCACAATCGCTGTTCGTCCTCCTGCCACATGGGGACGAGTATAAGTTGTGAGAAAAAGGTAAAGCACTGTCACTGAAAGCACTCTCCCTACGGCTAGACATTGTGTGAATACCACTGTCATGAGTAAGATGTGACGTTATTACCTTAAACAGTAAAATTAATTATTTTTTTTTTATGAAATACATAGTTGCATGTTGCATGTTAAGGGAATAAAGATGGCTAGGTTTTAATTGGGCCAGATGACAAAATTAATTATTAGTAAAAAAATATGATATTACTGAATTAAAATAAAAGTATAAAAATGATTTGTACTTCTTAATTTTAAAACAGTTCCGTTGTGTAGAATATAAATTCCTTTATGCTCATTTATTCTCTTTTGTCTTCAATAAAAACTTTTCAAAAATAAATTCTGCAGGATTTGACAGCAGTACTCAGTGCTATGTCTTAAGATTTTAATGAAAAAAGGTGCCTCTTTAAACCAATTTTTTTTATTTTAAAATAAGTTTACTGCACAACAGAGTAAATTTAAAACAACTCTAGAAGTATTTGTTTTACAGAACAAATAAACACAGGAATGATCAGATCCGATTGATGTTGTGTAGGTGGACCTTTCTGTGACGAATATAAGTGATTCAGGCATTCCACTATTATGAGAGTGGCAATGGAAACGAAAATGGCGAACCTCCATATTTTGACTATTTTTATAACACTGTCGATGTTTAAATGTGCTATAAGTGCTTTTAGCATGAAAATTTAATTTTCCAAAGCACATAAGGTAGGTATTTGTGTGTGGGGACGAGGAATGGTTTTCAAAGGCAAAAAATAAGGGAAAATTTGTAATAATGACTTGGTTAATGTCGATAAAGGTACATAGTTGAGAGGACTATAGCATTTTCGGAGGTTATCAGATTTATTTTGTGACTCTGGATGTACGTGGTGTAAATATTCATCTTTTATTGTTTTCAAGCTACAAGGCAGTTTTTAATTTAATATAATACCCTATTTTAAGTAACCATGTGCTTCTTTTTGAGGCATATTTTCTTAGATTTGATGATAATCGGACTACCTCCTGGCCACGAGCAGCCTAACTTCCCCCAAAACTGTGGGCAATGTCAACAATTAGACGAACCCTCTTGGCCTGTATATCTAACAGTCAAGAGTTTGCTTGGCAATCAATTCTGTAATTTTTTTTGTCAGAATTCATTTTACTCAAAAAAAAATAGTAACAAATAAAAATACGAACTTTTTAAAGGATAATATGGGGCAAAAAACATTTTTTGATGACTAGGTACATTGTTTAAAAATTTATTTCTACTAAAAAATTTTATGAACTTTTTTTTTAACACAAATAGTTTTAGAGTTACTTTCGATATAATCAACTTATGTGGTACATTTTATTTTAAAATTAAAAAAATATGTACCATTTTTTTTTAGAAATACCACTAAGCATCCTGGCAACTTCTTAACAAATTTTTTGTCAAAAACATAAAAAATAACCAGTTTTTTTTCATGAATATTTCTTATACACATTTAAGGTTTTTGTGACTGAATGTCACAAAAAAAGAAAACAGTTTTTATTTAAAATAAATATTTATTTAATGTGACATAACAAGTACTAGTACTAGTAACTAATCCACAGACGATTTTTCTTTTGCAAAAAAATTTTTTTGAAAATTACTTTAAAAACTTTTTTATTAAAAATGTGGCATCGTGGCATTCTTCAGCATCACTTAAACTTAAAACCCCTGTAACCCAGATTTAATCAATTTTTATAGAATATATTTTTTGTAGAGCCTCAAAAATTTTGTTTATTAAATTTGTTTCCATTAAAAAATGTAGAAAGCACTGAAAATGCCTGAAAATTATCGTTAATCTACAATATTGTTCCTCTACTCATTTGGCAAATTAAAGTATTAACACAAAACAATAGCTAATAATTTATTTCATCAAATTACATTTAAAAAAAAGGTTTAGACGTTTGAAATATTTGAAAACAAACAAATAAAAACAACTTAAATATTAGATACCTATCTCCACAAGCTCTCTGTTTAACCCAATACATTTTCATGTCGCCTCAAAATATTTTTCTGGACTTTTCCATGTTGACCCGGGCCGATTTCAGCACTTATTGAGACGGTACTTATAAACTAAATTTTTAACCAAATCCCATAAGAAAATGTCCAGTGGAGTCAGGTCTGGGTTATTCGATGGCCATTCTATAAGTAGACTGTATAAAAAACTATTTTTAAATAAAAATTGATGAAATTTGGACCACAAGGGTTTTAATTGATGGTGAAAAATGCCACGTTGCCACATCTTTAACAAAAAAAATCACAAAATTTCCAAAAAATTCATTGCAAATAAAATCTTAATAGTTTGTGGATTAACAGCTGGATCATCATAATAGGTTCAACAGGTACAGTTGGCGCCACCCAAATGTGAACGGATTTTGGTTGTTACGGAAATTTCATCTGGATTTTATCGTAGTAAATCAAACTTTTCTTAGTGGCGTAACACAGAGAGGGTATTCTGATGGATAAATTCGACCAAGGCATTGCCTTCCGCGTCACTGGAAACCTTCCCTACACCTTGCCGGATATATCTTTGTAATCTTTGTTCTTCTTGCCAGCGTTATTTAATACAAAATATACAACTCTTACTGACATTTAAATCATCATCCACTTCACTCAAAGACCAATTATCTTCTGATTTAGCTACAGCCCTTGCTCTTTGCGCCTCAGTTAAATGCTCCTGCATATTTTACGTTACTTGTTCTAGACTTTAACATAGGTATCGCTTGGTTCAAAAAACAAAACGTGTGGACTGTATTTTATATTTTTTATTTTATCTCAAAATAACCTCTTGCTCGATTGAGCTCTGGTACAATACTACTACTAAACAACGTCTCGCCGCTCCAGCAGGAATGTTTTCAAAAAAGGGCTTCAGAGGGCGCGCCTATTCCGACAACCCTTTCCAATGTAAAGAACATAACATAACATTACTTGTTTACATTTCATTATGTTTGCTCTAAGTGACATATATATTTGACAACTATTGAATTTTACGACGACCATGATTTGAAGTCTAAATTACACGGTACAATATTGCCGTTCACATTTGGATGGTGCCGACTGTACGTCTAGAAGACCAATATATAAAAAAAATCATTCAAACTGCATAAGCCAAAAATTTTTTAAGACGTGTCCTAGTTCTTATTGGACCATACTGTATGTTATTGATTGGCATATTTGTAGGTCAACTCAGCAAATTTGTACTTCTAATTAGATACATGATTTGTCCAATCTCATCAATCTAGTCAAACATCTTCAAAGATATTTGGAAATGTGGTATATTTTACTTATTTAACATTCTTTACCTGGTATTCTATGCCCCTTGTTAATGTAAAACTTAAAATCATCTATTTCGTCACCTATTTCCTAATTTATTACTACTCTGTATTTGTTCGAAAAATATATGTCTGAACTTACCCTGCCTCGTTTTATAAAGGGATGTTCCAGGACTTGTTCCAATTTCATTCGATCCTTGGGGTTTTTCTGCAGTAAAGAATTTATAAGATCCTTTGCTTCAGGCGATAAGTAACTAGGTAAAGAATACGAAGACATCACCACTTTTGTCAAAGTACTTTTTACTCCTGGTGTATCAAACGGCGGTGAGCCAACAAGCAGGGTGTACAAGAGGCATCCTAATCCCCACACATCGGCTTCGAGACCATGAGACCCTCTAGAAGCTACTTCAGGAGATATAAAATTAGGTGTTCCGCACATCGTCATGTGTTTTTCATCAGGTCTGGTTAACTGAGTGGCTAAACCAAAATCAGCTATTTTCTAAAATTGATATTATTATTAATTAAAAAATAAATGTTGTAAAATATAAACTTACCACTTGCATATCTTTTGTAAGCAATAAATTTGACAGAGACAAGTCACGATGTAGTATATTATGAGAATGGAGGTATCTGATACCTTCTACGACTTGTCTCATTATACTACTCACTTCACTTTCTGAAAGTGTCTAAAAATATAATTATTACTTTCTGTAGTGTAAAATAATAGCACAACACAATTTACCTTTTCCTTAACATATTTCTGCAGTTCACCATTGTGGCAAAGCTCTAAAACTAAATATACATAATTTATGTCTTCAAAACAAATAAATAACTCTAATATTGATGGGTGCTTTAGCCGTGAGTGAATCGATACTTCTTGTTTTACTCTACTAACCATTCCAGTAGCCTGCATAAGTTTTTTGTCAATCTAAAAAAATTATAATAGTGGGATACTGTAATAGTTTTAGAAAAGGTGTTCACACAATAACTGACAATGGTTTAAACATTTTTATAACAACAATCTATAGAATAAATTATTTCAATCTACAGAAATTAATTGTGTTTTTTTTTTAGGTATAATGTTTCTCTTAAACCTACCATTTTTATAGCTACTTCTATTCCTGTTTTCAAACATCTTGCACGATACACAGATGCAAATCCTCCTTTTCCAAGTAAATTATGCACCTCATAATCCTACAAAATTGACAAAAATATTGTCTTTAAATCAAATATTAAATCCTAAGTGGCAAAACAAACAGATCTACTACTATTTACTCAAAAATTATTTAATTTGATTATGCCCGGACTCGTAAACAATAAACTAACCTCAATTCTCTCTCCAAACGAAGTCATTTTATCCAAGTATAAAGCAAGAAACTACAACTAAATTGCACACATGAATTTCGTTATCCTTAAATGGTATTCACTGACAAATAGCACTGCAAGTTATTATCAATATAATAATTATATTTTATTTACAAATAAACAGTAAACAAAAATTACATTTCAATTTTTAACCGACGAAACGCCACGCGCAGTCGCAGTACTACCAACACCAACACCAACGCCAATGCTTTTACTTTTGAATTAATCTGGGCAAGTACCAACACAAAATGTTGTTAGGCAACTCTAAATACAAGGGAGAGATTGGAAAAGCCTAGATTTCAGGGGTAGCAAGTATATGATTTGATTTTTTCAGAATATTTTCTTATAGCTGCAGAGTCGTCTGTTTCGCATGCATTTCAACAACAAATTCGTATTTCTCTTATCAGAAGACTGATGTCCCTGAGACACAGAGATGAGTTATTTATAACTTTAATAACGGAGTTGAGAAATACTTGAAAATTTCTGTATTTAATCTATGCTTGAAAATTACATAGGTACGCAATTTCATATTTCCAAAATTTTTCGTTTGAAATGTTCATGGATTATTGAAAATTGGTTTCAATACAGACAATAATCTGAGGTAAGTTGCATGTACTTTCATGAGTTTCACGTTGATGCCCTGTTGGACAAATTTTAATTTGGGATTGGCTCATAGGTACATGATTATTATTCTTTTTCTCTACATATTACTAAAATATGCTTACTTACAACATATAAAAACATATAAAAAACGTTTTAGGGATTTTTATTTTTTCCTTATTATTGAGATTTGTTTAATCATTTTTATAGATCTGATATATATTATCCAAAAGAGAAATTTTATATTATTAACTGTGATGTTTAAATAAGTTACAGAAACAATTTAAAAAATTTATTGGTATCTTGTCATATACATACATTCATTCAAGATTACTCTGATCCATACAGATACATCACAATGTGAGTAATAAGTATTACGTAAGTTTCTTATGGATATAACGTTATTAATATAATGAAGATTTATGTATTATAGATGTTATTTATTATTGCGAATTGTTCTAGAGAAAAAAATATTTATTCAGTCTTCCAAACTCTTGCAGATGTTCGCATATATTCAAGCAACTCTGGGACATGAACCTCTGTATCGGATATTTACATCTGAAACAAAACAAAAAATATTTATATTTGATACGATAAAAAAAATCCTCCCCGGCGGGGAATCGAACCCCGGTCTCCCGCGTGACAGGCGGGGATACTTACCACTATACTACCGAGGACTTGTAAAACAATATTTATAATATTGGATTTAAACCGTAGACATTGTCTTGAAAATAAATTATTACCTAATAGAAAAATGAATATATTTTGAACATATTTATTTAAAGCATTTCTTAAGTAGATTATATATACACTGTAAATTTTTACAAATAATAAATAAACCCACCCATCAGAAAGAAGAGTCTAAGGTATTTTTTTCAAAATTTATTTTAATAATTTTCTATAATCTACTTTTCACTATGAGATTTAATCAGTTTGTTAAAGTACAACCCGTGGGTGTTCTTTGCGTCTCAATGTCTTAGACCTAGCTATTTCTTTTTTAGTTTAAATCGTGATAAAATATATGCATAAGAAAAGAAAAACTACAGATAGAAATCAAAGCAATTAAAAATTTTATAAACGTAATGTAATATTAATTTACTGTATCAGTTTTATGTCGTAGTAGTTAGTTCAGAATTTGTTACATGTCGATGTTTCACAATGCGTTTCCAATGTTTTCTATTTTTCAATTAATACAGGTATAATGAAAAAGTAAAAAAAATAGTGAATAACATATACATGATACCAGTGACTATAACAAGAATTCTTGTTATAGTCATTGATGATACGTTCTCTTATTATGATGTTAAATATAGTAATATAATAAAAAATATTGAGATTCATATTTACTTTCTCTCTTATTTTTTCATGTTTTACGTCCATTTTTTTTGCACTTACTAATCTTATTGAAACACTCTATAATCTTATGATGTAACAATTCCATTTGAAAATACCCTATTAAAGGGGATTTTATTCTTATTCATAAAGTAAAATCCATTTTAATGATATTTTCATAAATGACCACCCCACCTACCTACTGAAGGTTAATGTACCTATTTAACCAGGTACGCAATGCCAGTGATTCCCCAATTTGTCATTCAAAAAGAATTTATAGACCCAGTCAATTTAATTGATTGGTTGTTTCACAAAACATTATTACCAATAATGTTTATAATTCGTCAAGCTTTAGACGATTGTCAAAATATTTCTACTTGTGATTAAGTTAATTTTAGTATGTCGATTATGAGACTGTAAATATTATTAATAAAATAGAAGATTTTATTGTTTGAAAAAATACAAAATTAAGCAGCCAACGTCAAATAGAAAGAAATCTGATGGCCGATCTCAAAGACGAATAGCAACCGATAAACGTTAGTATGACATTTCGGTAAAATGTGTTTTATGCCCATTTATTTACCATGAATATAAAACCCAGATTTAAAAACAGAATTATGTTTTTACAATAATGATAATTCTTTCAGAATACCAAAGTAAACAGAAGGATACCTTTCATGTGATTACCTTGTACATAACATGTAACTTAAGTTAATGAGTTTTATGCCAATGATTTAGAGTTTCAGTAGTATGAACAGGAAAATGGACCTTTTTTCTTGGATTACCCAATTTAAAAAATAGGTATACTCCTCAGTGGTGTTGAAATTCTGAAGGTTCTTAGCGGCAGTATCTCCGCCAATGGCGTAAAACTTTTTTTAGTTAAACCCAAGTTTCAATTAATAGTTTATGCTTGATACAACAATAATTTCTTTTTTGTCTCCATTCTCTGAAACATAACATAGCTCCCCGTTTCTGAGGATGAGGACAAAAAAGAAACCCAACTTTCATGTAGGTACCTATGTCAAACATCGTCCAAGATTGCTTTAATGTTACATTATTCAAAAACTCTTAAAATCCTTCGAAAGCTAAGTTGCTTTGAACACAACTTTTTATTTTACAATGATCCAGGAAGTCACCCTTGAAATATTTCTACGTGCTTAACTTTATAAAGACATGATCTACTAGAAATTATGACGCATTTTTGGCATATATTCTGTACTTACTTCTTCCACATCTTTGTGCACACTGCAACCAGTATATATTGGTGTAGGTAACATTGTTGTCTCCACAGACAGGATCAAACTGGGACGTGGCTCGACATTTATCTTCACATGGCGATCTTGTTGTTGCCATCCCGGGGATGGCCACTGTGGAGGAAGATGGTGGTGGCCGTGTGACAGAGGGGACATTTGGTCTTATGAAGTCATCGTCGTTATCTTCAAAAAAAATATTGTTCTGTGATGGGCGATTTTCTCTCGCATTGTTCTGGTTGCTGCCCCAGTTGAATCCGCCTATAACAATATAATGTATAAAATAAAAGAAAACCTGATAGTCTTATATGTAGCCGATCATAAATGTTTTCATCAATAAAATTTAACAGTTCAATAATAAACGAGGTGCTGTCGAGACCTATTTGTGGTCTGCTGGAATTACCCCTTGGTATTCATATTTTCATTTTACTAGACCCGAATTTTTCTATAAATTAAAAGTAAAAGAGTGTAAGTAAACAAGGAAACACCATCATAATTGGTACACGAGAAATATATTTTATATGTAGCTGAAGTGTGAGTCGAGAAGCAGGTAATAAATGTTTACAGTCGTTTGTTGAACGTCGAAGAGAAGTACTGAATAGGCCCATTCAGTAATATTTTATTTATAATTAATCAATGAAACTTTGCGCCAAAATAATCAGTCAAGGGTTATTTTTATCTAACTGCTTTTGTTTATCCAAAAATCGCTCACTAAAAAAGGCAGGTAAGTAGAAAATACGCATTATTTTATATTAGGCAATTTAACCGAAGACTCTGGTAGAAGAAGGGCATAGTACTATTTTTTTGAAAAATTTCGCCAAATTATGAGAAAATGAGAACAAAAGGATTAACTTATAACAGTGTCTTTTCCTCTTCTGAATCCAATTTACATATTGGCGCTTATTCCCTTCTTCCACGTCTACAATTATAGTTAACGTTTTGAATCAGCCTTTTTCCACTATCAAAATTTGTAATACCTTTTCTTTCTTAACTAGGTTTGATGGTTGAAATTTATTTGTTTTTATTTGCTTGCATAACTATACAGGATGTTAGAAGTTTGACTGCCTTAATATTAACAGAAGATAGAATACATTAAAATAAACAAAAAAACTATTTCCGAGAAAAAAATTTTCAAAATCTCCAACTTGATGTACAAAAGTTCGATTAATTAAGGAATATTGACATAACTGCGTGTATAGAATACCATAAAATACTATGTTTATCACTTTTTTGAACTTCTTTTTGCTTAATTCTAAAAAATAATAAACGTTCCAGGTAATAAATTTAAAATTAGATAAAATTAGTATATCGAGCAATGTGACAACGGCGCGGCGGTTAGCACGATGTACTAAGCTGTCCAGCAATACGCAATTCTGTTCTGTATCTGGAATTGGACCGTGTCTGAGTGTTTTTTACGTACCACTACTTCCTTTTCTTGAGGTGTGTTCCAGCTAGTGCGCAAAAATTGGATTCGAAGGTGTCGTGCGTGCATCGTGGTGGACATTTTGAGCATATTTTGTTTTGTACTTGTGCATTTAAAAATTACTAAATTTTGGTTTTTGGTAAGTATATAAATTATTTTTAAAACGTATGATTGTTTGGACGACGTGAATCTTTGAGTACATTAATTACATATTTTTCAAATTCATAATTTGATTAAAAGTTCCTGTTTTAAGAGATTCATAATTACTAAAATTCGAGCTAAAATTTAAGCACAACACTATCTTCCTAGTACAAAATCGATACATTTTATTTTATTTATTTAAAAACTGGGAAACAATTGTCTTGAAATTTACTAAATACACACTAATATTTACTAAATACAACTACATAATAATAGTTGTTTACATTTTTGTTATGCCGTAGGACAAGTCTGCCGCGTGCACACGTGGTGTGCATCAACTGTGTAACAACAGGTTAAGCGCTGTTGTCACATTGTGATGAAACTCCCCAATATTAATACTCGCTGTACTTCGAAAACTGTTAATCTTACGCCCCTATAATATACAACATTTTTATTCATTTATGATTACTCTATCTCATGCTGAAGTAGTGGCAGTCAAACTTCTTACACCCTGTATATACCATATGAACCTAGATGTAGACCAGGGGCTAACAAGTGGTATGACGTAATATCATGGTATCCGTGCGTTTTCTCCATCTCCGTTTCCTTTCATTATTTTGAGGGAAAACACAGTAACCGGAAACACCTTTGACATCTCGTGTCAAGGCAAAACAGCGATTATCTTTTATGTAAATTTATAATCAGTTCCAATCAGCAGGAAGCTTCTGTAAAATTGTAATTTAAATCAAATAACGATTTAATTCTAAATCTAAAATTTGTCAAATCAAAGCAATAAGTATTTACCCTGTTAAGGAAGAAAATTTAAAATAACAAATTTCAGTTTAAACATTTCCAAATCTATAAAGGCGCGTATCCACTTGTGTCAATGCTCCGTAACGTAACAACGAACATGTTACGGCCTGTTGCAAAAGGTGACACGGTTCGCTGCAAAAGTATGTGTGGTTTTGGTCGTATCATTCATTCCGTAATGTAACAAAGTAAGGTTACAAGACGACACAGGAACATAACCTCGCAGTATGAACCTGACTGCAATAATGGATTCGTAACTGCAATTGCAGTTAGCAGCAGCGTCATATATTTTTATTCATCATACAATTTTAAAGAAACAGAAATCTCCGGAAATCTTTTCTTTACTCCACTTCATGGCACAAACACAGAAAAACACACTCTTCGTAGTCACTGTAGAAAACAGACTGACTCCAGACCATATACAAAAGACTGACGAAACAAAAAATAAGACAAAATCACGTGTGCAACAAGCAACGTTACGACCAAAAGGGCAACCCCGTCTCAACATGTGGCAGAAAGTACTGTTGCATCCCTTTGATGCGACGACTAAAAACTGACAACTGATGGTTCGTCCTGGATAGTTACGCGTGTCAAATTTGTTACACGTACCATGCAACAATTTTCCGTCTCCTCTACCTGTAACGTAACATATTCGGTGTTACGTTATCGGAAATTTGACACAAATGGATATCCGCCTTAAGAGATAGACTTCATTTAAAATCAGCGTAAAATTTTACGTAATTTAAGCATCTTTCCATTTTTTTTAGTAATTCAATGACAAATTATGAAATTTAGGATACACTATATACTCAGTCCTGGATACGCAGTAAAAACTTCTTTTAAGTAGGTACTTATTTTTTGCATTCTTAAAAAGTTGAAACGATCACGTGTACTTATAATGTACCTTTCTGAAATAATTAAATATTTAATTTCTGTAATTGGATAAGTGTTCCTAGATGTACAATTGTACAGTATATAAAATACTACGTAAATACCCACTTCACAAGACAAATCACTTAAGTAACGTTTACTTAACTTGCTGGTACCGAAGGCTATTCAAAGTCAAGGTTTATCATTACCATGAAGATGACTACGTGCCATTCAAAGGTTTTGTTTTTATTGGTTGGCATTCTAGTTTAGTAGTTTTTTTCATGAAACTTAAGTTGTTTTAGTGATGTAGTCTCTTAATAATTCGTACCAAGTCACTCAAAAACATTTAATTACGCACAAAACAAAGTTATTTGCGTATAGGTACTAACATACCTTTATCTATAATATTTTTTTTAAGATTTATTTATTTAATCGAAGAAGTCCTAAACAATTTCTTCGAAGAAGAAAATTTATTTAATCCAAGATTATCTACTACGAATAAGTACAGTACAATTGCTTTAAGGTTTTTCGTAAATAAAATATTTAATCTAGAATTTGAAATGTTATATTTTCTATGCACATATAATTTTATACTCAACTTAATCCAGAATGCACAATTTTAAAACAAAAAAAAATGTTTTATTATTTTTATTGATGAAGTTTTATCATTATTGACTAGTATAGTGAGAAAATTCTTAGCTTATCCTTCTGACCATAGATTGTAAAGAAGTAAACCTTAAACTGAAACTGTAATTTATTAATTTTCTACGCGTGTTATTTTATAATGTTTCGATTAACTAAAATTTTATTTTTTATTATTCAGTGGGATCCATTATATCGTGATAAACTAATAAATTAGCACATTAATGACCATACCATAATATTTTTAATTTATTGGTCTGTTACATTGTAAACAAATTTCTATTTTGCCTTCGTGTATATGGTGCTAATTTAATAATAGTGCAAAATGCAATGACTATCATGTTAGCAATAATTATAACGAATTTTTTCCTGGGATCCTATAACAGTATTTTAGATATACATTACGATGCAAATGTACGGAATAAATTCATTATTTCAAAAATGGACGACTTTTGAAAAAAATCCTAGAATATGTCAATTTTAAATTTTGAAAGGCCATCTTGTGATATAACGAGCGTTCAAATAAAAACGTGGTCAAATTGGTTCTGAAAATTTGGACGTAGGGCGTAGCGTATCAATTTGAATATTTTCGTTTTAAAAAGCGTTTAAAATGGTGTTTTCTCAAGAACAAAAAGTGTTTATCATAGAGTCCTACTTTAGAAATGGACGCAAGATTGATGGAATATGGAAGTATTCTATTGAGGAATGTTTCATAGAATTTCAAAATCAATTTCCCGGCGTTGTTGAGTACAAAATTTTTCAAAGTGCAGTTCAGCGTTGTGTTAATGTTTTTCGTGAAACGGGCAGTGTAACAAGAAAAGAAGGAAGCGGCCGACCTAAAAAGCGGACTGAAGAATTAAAAGAAAATGTCCAACAAATAATGGAAAATGCGCCAAGAACTTCTGTACCTGTTTTATCACAAATGGTGGGAGTATCAGTCGGTACCTGCCACACAGTGTTAAAAAAAGATTTGCGTTTGTTCTCCTATCGTTTAACATGTCAGCAAGAACTTCATGAAGTTGATTTTCCGCGACGGGCTGTATTTTGTGAATGGTTTTTAAACAACTACGGTGAACTTCATAATATCACCTTTTTTTCTGATGAAGCCTGGTTCCATTTAAGTGGTTACGTAAACTCACAGAATATGAGAATGTGGTCTTCTGAAAAACCAGATAACTTTTTTGTCGAGGGCCCTCTACACGCTCAAAAAATTGAAGTTTGGTGTGCTCTCAATCGAAGGAGGATTTATGGACCTATTTTTTTTAATGGTACTCTTACTGCGCAAAGGTATAGAGAAGAAATTATCGCTCCTTTTGTTAACCAGCTGGAAGAAAACGAAATTACAAACTTTTACTTTCAACAAGATGGCGCAAGGGCACATACGGCAGGCGAGACGATGAATATGTTGAGGGAAGTTGTGCAAAATCGACTAATAAGTCTCAATGCTGAACATGAATTTCCACCGAGGTCATGTGATATTACGCCGTGTGATTTCTTTTTGTGGCCTTACCTTAAAAACACTATTTTTGAACTGCCTATTCCTGATTTAAACCATCTGCAGGCTCGACTTATAGACAAGATTCGTGAAATTAACAATACCCCGAGCATCTTAGAAAATGTCTTTAATTCTTCTAGGAACAGGTGTGAAAAGTGCTTGGAACAAGGAGGGGACACTTTCAGCAGCTGCTTTAATTTATTGTTATAACAAGGAGGGGGACACTTTCCGCAGCTCCTTTAATTGTTTGTTATTGTTATCACGATTATTTTTTAAAATAAAGTTATATAGTCATTAACGTTATTGAAACTGACAGCTGCTATACAGCTCGTTGAGAAATGAGGTTAAGTTGGTCGCTATAAGCTACTCCCTACGTCCAATGTGTCAGAGCCAACTTCGACCACGTTTTTATTTGAACGCTCGTTACATTTAAGGGCCGTTACGTCACCAGTGCTGACGTAATGACGTAATGGACGATTCTTTTAAATACAAACAGGGGCATGTGACACCTCATTTGAAAGTCTCCTAATCGTCCTAATCCAACGTTATAATTAGTTGAATATTTATTTCTGCAGGGTCAACCAAAATTATGTATTTACTTAAGTAGAATAAAAATAATAAAATTACAATAAATATTTAAACTGATGACCGTTCTTTTAACTCTTCTAGACTTTTTGGCTCGCTTTTTGGTTGGCTTTTATAAACGTTGGTCTTCAAGTATCCAAGGAAGTCTAGTGGAGTCAGACTGGAGACCTTGGTGGCCATTCTATCGATTCTCTCGGAAAACATTATTTAAGTAAGTTCGTACAACAACGGTGTATTGTGGGGGAGCCCCATCTTGCTGGAACCACAAATCATTTCTATTTGGAAATAGCTGATTCAGTTGTGGCAACAGATATCGAGGACCAGTTAAGTTCTCTTCAAAAAATTATGGCCCTATAATTTGGTTGTTTATAATTCCGGCCCAAACGTTCACCTTATATTGTGTGCTAGACTCCTCCATCCAATGTGGATTTTCACTTGGCCAGTATCGACACGTCTGGCGGCTTACGTGACCGTTGAGTATAAGTAGTAAAATAAAACTGGTGAAAACCGGAAGACTCAATTTATGTTTGATTTAATCTTCATACTGATTGCATGTAAGGTACATTTGATATAGTAAATAATAAAATATTTCGTTGCTACTGGAACAAATACTACCCCGAGTGGAAATTACCATGTCGGACCAGCTTGGAAGTAGATTATTTAATTATGCAAATATTACATCCGTAGATGTCGAACGGTCATTCTCTTCAGATTAAGAATCACCGCCGCGAGTAAGTTCCGCTGAAACAAGGGTAGAAACATAACTGATGATGGGATCTATAACGGATGCGTAAAATAATTTACGTATTTCACAATGATACAATGACATAAATCTTATAATCATTGTTCACTTTATTTTATGATGATTATCCGCGTGGCCAATTATGACAGCTCTAGTGATTTAGAATGTAGTACTTTTATCAGTCAATGTATTTTTTCCGAATCAATAAAAATAGTAGAAAACACTACGATGTTTTATGTCCAGTCCTTAGCATAAGTTCAATGAATTTCATTCTAATTAAGTAAATATATAATTTTGGCTGACCCTGTACAAATAAAAATTCAAATTATTATACCCTTGGATAGACGATTAGGACACCTCTCGATTGAGGTATCTCATGACCCCTGTTTGTATTTGAAAACATCGTCGACGTACCGGCATCGGTACTTAAATGTATATCACAAGATGGCCTTACAAAATTTAAAATTGACGTGTTTTAGGATTTAGGATTTTTAGGAGAGGTCGTCTATTTTTTTAAATAATGATACATTTGCACCATACTGTATGTATTTTGTTCAAAGCAATTGGATGATATTATAGAAATACTAATACAATACATATTAAAATTTCCAGAGTTCTGTGGGTATAACTGGATCATTATGAATTTTAGATGTGTTTATATTTCCATATACCTAGTATATTTTTATACACCGCGACTTGTAGATTTTGTTGTTATACAAGGTCATATCTTTGTTTACTACATTTTTTAGAAAAAAAATTAAATTCATTTGAATTAGCTTTACTACAAAGCAAAAATACTATTGAAAAACAACCATAGAATTGATAAAAGATGCCCAAAACATATTTAAAATGTACAAACAGAACAACGCATCAAAAATAAGGTAGCTTAAGGTAACTTGAAGCGTTTGTTTTTGAGGCACAGGGTGGTCAAGTTTAGGAAAAAAACGTTCATGTCCAAGATTTTGAAATGTAATTTCGTGTGCATAATATTAATGAAGTGACATTCAATGTAAATACGTCATAGAATAAAATATTTTTATAATTTTTCAAACCGAGGCTTTATAAAAAACTTTAAAAAACAAAAATTTTTAGATTAGGTATGCTATTCTATTGGGTTGCATAGAAATATAGATTAAAAATATTTGCATTTATTTTATGAATATTCATATGTATTGTATTACTGAGAATTTCTTTCGATTGAAATGAGTTCTTTAAAATTTTTAAACAAAAGCCGAAAGCACAGAACATCGATTTATGAAATATCAGTCTTTTCTATAAATACAACAAAATGATTGACTGCAATTATTGACGACGAAATTCTTAAAATTTATTACATAAATAGGCATCTATACTAACCAGTATTTGGACGGAAGTTTCCCCAAAACGGATTGTCATCGTCCGATGAAGAAAATTCACTTTGCCTTGGTTGTCTTGACAAAGAAGGATATTTCTGGGTTCCTAGAAGGACTTGATGCAACAATCCACCGTCTCTGGAGTTTCCATCATCGGAATTAATTCCATAGCACGTGGTGCTGTACAAAACTATTCCGCAATCTATAACAAGAGAATTATTATATAGCTTATAGATGATTAGATGATAGCTTAACGCTTAATGGTTATTCATGTAACGTTGTCTTTTTAACTGTTTCGTTTCAGTTCTGTTTCGTGAGTCAAGTACCAAACGAAAAACCAAAAATATATTTTTATTTTCCATAAAATTGAAAAATGTAATCGTGGTTATTATCCTTTACTTCAGACAAGCTTACTCATTGCTTTTATTTTGGATGCAAATCATAAACAGTAATTATCTATGCATGACAATTAGTCTAGCTCTAGAATCTAGATGATCTAAACGGACATGTTAAAATTTCTCAATGGAATCTGGTAATTATAATATCGTTAAAGCTACGAGTAAATGAATTTAGCTATAATATTTGAAAAACCAAGAAAACAAAAGTTTTAAATTGTTTTAAAACATAAATCGTGGTACACCCTTTCTGCAGGTTTCTTCTTTTAGAAAATATATAATTTTCATGTCACCACATTTAAAGTTATTGTACAACAAACTAATGCAAAAAATTAAAGGGTCAAAAGAATTTCCGAAATTTTTCCGTGATTTTTGACAGACTGTATTTAGGTGAAAAATGGTCGTATTGGGAATTAAAAATAGCATTTTGAAGCTCTAAGATTCTAGTTTTTAGATCATTCGATCGAATTTTTTTAGAAGCTACTGTTATCATGCAATTCTAAGAAATAGCGAGACAAAAAAATTTTGCAAATTTTTTATTTTTTTCACGGACTTGGACTTTCAGCTAAGCCATTGCATGGACCAGATAGCTTGTTTATTCAGCTTCAAATTCCCTTTTTTTTTTTAAATTTCGATACGACCATTTTTCATCGAAATATTGGACTTTTAATGGAAAAGGATCCTTTTGTCTTCAATCATCGATATCTCGGCGACAAACAGTCGTACAGAGAATTGAAGGGCAGTTTCGAAAATTGGAATAAATTGCCAATAATACGCTGTCGCAACTTTTCGGAAATATTTTTTTTTCATCTTTTATACGAATTTTAAAAATCAGGAAAAAATGGTAATTTATGGTTTTTAGAAAATTGACGGCTAAATTAAAAATATTCACGAAACGACTAATGTTAAGCATGACTTTTACAGTTCGATATACCCAGAAGAACCCTGTGAAGTTTCATCTCGATCTAGCGAACTGTTTCTTTATTTCAAACAGTCAAACTTTTGAAAAAAATTAAAGGGTCACTTTTTTGAGCTTAAACACTTCATAATCATGATTAATGATGAGAGATAAAATATTGAACGAAGTTAGTAATATCAATAAAGTAGATAACTAAAATCATTATGAAAAAAAATTGTTTTGAATATAAGTCCTTTGTCTAAAACAGAGTGAAGATATTATAGAACATCGTTTATAATAAGACATATTTTCTTAATACAGAATTTAAAAGGTTCTTGTAATAAATTTAAAAGCATACCACACTGGTTCTTGATTATATTCCTTGAACTAAGTCAGTAAATAAACCAAAAAATAGCGCAAACTGTTAAAACAAATATATAACATTTTATACATATATTGTTTAATTATTGTTATTGTTTAATATATTGTTTAGGTGAAAAATGGTCGTATTGGGAATTAAAAATAGCATTTTGAAGCTCTAAGATTCTAGTTTTTAGATCTTTCGATCGAATTTTTTTAGAAGCTACTGTTATCATGCAATTCTAAGAAATAGCGAGACAAAAAAATTTTGCAAATTTTTTATTTTTTTCACGGACTTGGACTTTCAGCTAAGCCATTGCATGGACCAGATAGCTTGTTTATTCAGCTTCAATTTCCATTTTTTTTAATTTCGATACTCCCATTTTTCATCGAAATATTGGACTTTTAATGGAAAAGGATCCTTTTGTCTTCAATCATCGATATCTCGGCGACAAACAGTCGTACAGAGAATTGAAGGGCAGTTTCGAAAATTGGAATAAATTGCCAATAATACGCTGTCGCAACTTTTCGGAAATATTTTTTTTTCATCTTTTATACGAATTTTAAAAATCAGGAAAAAATGGTAATTTATGGTTTTTAGAAAATTGACGGCTAAATTAAAAATATTCACGAAACGACTAATGTTAAGCATGACTTTTACAGTTCGATATACCCAGAAGAATAAATTTAAGTTGTATTTATTATTCATAGTTTGTCTTTCTTTCTTGACTTGTGATTTTGTATCCATCAACAATTTAAGACATTGTGTTATTTATATATTTGCGTAATGTTGAAGTAACATCCGTTTACAAATGTTACAATATAGTGTGGAGTGCTGTGGAGCTACTGTTTGGATAAACAACTGGGGATTTCCTGAAATTTACTAAGTTACCTAATTTTTGTAAATTTGTGGAAAAGTAATATCTAGTTTAACAATTAAAACACAGCGTTCTAAAATCAAGGATATGGAAGTTGTGTATTTGGTTCTCAACAAAATAGTTTTTATAGTTTAAATTCAAAAATCATCATATTTATGGATATTTTTACAAAAAAATTATATTATATTTTATATTTTCGTACAAGATACTATATACCTACAATAATTTAATAAATTCTTCGATGTAGTTTTCTAAAACCAGTTCTCCTAGACACCTCGATAGTTTACTGTTATCCAGGAAAGCAAATGAATATTCTAGAATAATTTTAAACTAATTGTAAGTTCAGTATAAGTTTTCGAGATTATTTACTCACTGATTCCATATTTTTTTGTTATATTTATTTATATATCAAAACAAAATCATACGCAATAAAAAACGAGAAACAATGTCAATCGCATCATTTTCAATTTTAATTAACTTTTGGGTAAATTGTTCATTTTTATTTCAGTATAAAAATTTACTTTTAAAATTTAGATGTAACAATTCACATAACAAGCTTCTTCCATACTTTTCACCTGTATATTTCTACACGATTGAATAGAACATGTCTCCTGGACTGCAAAGATATACAGGGTACTGTGTCTATAGTATGTCGAAACAAATTAGGTTTAGTTATATTTTCATATTTATGGAACTAAATTTTTCTACTGGCGTTCATCATTTTCTGGATATTAATTTTACATACGAAAACATTTTTTTCAAGTGTCACAAGTTTTTTGCAAAATTACAAATTAGTACAGGTATTCTTTGCCAAATACAATTGTGTGTCATAATTAGATTTAAAAAATGTAACTAACTAATGTAAACTTTCTCAAATCACAACAAAGTAATTAACCTTATATGTTTATCACAGTGCAAAAATGCTTCTTAAACAATTACAGGCTTTCAAAAAGAAAATTTAATTTTTTGATATAGGTAACTTAAAACACTGTTTAAGATATTATAATGAAATTTGGCAAATGGGACTGTTTAGGAAAAACAAACAAAGATATAAGCTACAACATAGAAATCTCTAGAAACATGTTAAACAGTATCTTATATTTTGCTATAACATTTTTGTTTCGAAGATATTTTGTAAAACGCCATTTTGCATCTTTTAATTTTTCCTGCAGTTATCAATTAAGAATAGTCGAGTACCTAGGGATATTTTAAACAAATTAAACTTAATATTCTAAAATATGCAGTCAAACTTATAGGGCAGAAAGTAGAGGTCAAAATAGACTGTTTGACCTAATTTACCTAGATACTACAAAAAAGGGACGGAGTTATCGTAAAAATATTAATCAAATAAATTTCTTTGAAGGAAATGAACTTTTAAAGAAACATTTTGGTACTGAGGTATATTCAGTTAATTGCTTTGTTTTGGTCTGAACAATTTTTTTTAAACCTAATTATGACCTTGTATAAAGAAAATTTATTCTACAATGTAAACAATTATGAAAAATAAACGTCAAAGTGTGTCGCTATATAAATACATTAATTAGAACAATTATTATTACAAGAAATTTGTTTATATTCCTTGGGGTCCAAAATGTGTTAACTGCAATTTTTAAATACTATTCCCGAAGAATTAATTTTGTTTTCAAAGTTTAAAGCGACAAAATTCATTACATATATATTTTATTAAAACACATATTTGCTGAAAGAACAATATTATTAATTTTAAAAAGACCTAAAGTGTCATCTGTAAAATGTTTGAAATAACAAGGCTTCTATGAATATGTTAACTATTTTTTTTAAACTTCAAATCAAATGGAAACAAACATTTATTACTTGCACGAAATTACCAAATATATGTATATACTTACATGTAATTAACAATAGCAAATAATTCATTGTTTTACTATTTATGTCTTCACTTGCCACTTAATACTATCCTCTCAAAGGCACCTGTAAACACTGCTTCAGTGAATGATAGTGTGGCTACTCACTCTAGTATTTTATAAGACCGCCAGGCTACTGGTTACTCAACTTACTGACGAGTTTAAATCATTCATCAATATCCTGCGGTTTGAAAAATTTTAGTGATTAATGAAGCAATTAATTTTTTTGTAGAGGCAAATTAGTCATAATAATTTAGTTCTATGCTTTTGGCATAGTAATTAAGGCACTTTTATTTTTTTTACATCACCGTAATATATCGAAAATATTTACTAGGATCTTTATTTACTGTATCTTATACGGTTTTAATGTCTTATTTTAAACTGCTTCCAAATTATTGAGCTGTTTGGGTTACTATGTTTTGAAAAGATATGTATTTAGTACCGGTAATTTTATTATTGAAAGTTTATTTTATGTATTCGTACACAAAATTGTTTATTTAAATATCTACTATAAAATAACGTGAATTTGAAGACTTAATTGTGGATATACACAAGATGTTATTGACGAAAATTGTAAGTACAGTTGTAAAACTGTTTAAATTTTACAGTAGAGAAAAATAAATCAAGAACTGTACAAAATATCTTAAATATATGAGTTTACTTATTTCTAATTACTCAGTCATATTTATTTTTAATATCTACCACCTGACATGTCATTATTATTTTCACGTAGGTGTTATTATTTCCTGTAATAAATCATTATTAAAATAGTGCTGGTGTTATAAAGGAGTATTACTTCTAAAGCAATCATATCATACTAAAAGCCTTTATTATGATTTTTTCAAAAGTGTTAAGTAACTTCAAATTCTCTCAAAAGATCTTCCTTTCAGGCAAAATCTGGCTTTAAAATAATTTCTTCAAACGGTTGAATATTCCCAGATTTCAGAAAAAAATGAATCTGTGACTCGTTTGGCTAACTTCACTTCTTTTAAGAAAATTCTGTATCATGCTTTCGCATACCTGAGACTGAATTTCGTTGATAACTCACCGAATGTCTGCCTTTAATTCAGAAACGGTATTAATCTGAGAAGAATAAACTTTGGACTTTATGCATGGCGTAAGATTGCATGATCTTGGTGACCAAGTCACTTCACCATTACGTTACATGTTGTCGATTTTCGCAATTTCCACCCGCTCATCCATCGTGTAGCGGTCCATTGTGTCTAACCACAACGAGTTTACTACAACATATGACCCTGCACAATATTGCTAATTCTTCAGAATGAAAATGGAGCACAATTCAAATCCTGCGTTACCTTTGGGATACCCTTTCAATTAATATCACCAACATTAATGGTTCGTTTCCAATGAACAATGACAAACCATTACGTCTACGCTCGAGATAATGCGATCGCTGATTGGTCGAATAGAATCTCGTAAAAAATTACTCCAATCACAGCCGATTAAACAATATATTATGTTTTAATGCATTCTTAATCTTATTATTTTACCCAAATATATTTACCAATGTGAAGAAAATAAAATTATTGTTCCAAACAAAATTGCTGGTCACGTGGCTTGTAATCATTTGTGAAGGCTCAGTATATTTTGATTGAGGAATAAAAAGTTTTATTGATTTTACAAATTATTACGAAAATAGATCAATCATAGGCGTCCGTTCTGATGATCCACACAGACCCATAAAAAAGGGCGTGATCTGGATGACTAACCATGGTATTCCTATGTATTTTTCGACGCTGAATCCGAATCCGATGTCAAAATAATTCGTATACCCCTTAATTTTGGTGTAGAGCCAAAAACATCCCTTAAATAGGGGTAAAGTTATAAATATTAGTATCACTACGGAAAAGGGTATGAATGGGCACTTTGTAACCCTCGTGCTCTCATTTATTATTACCAAGGGCTCCCCCGAAGGGGTTGATACCCCTTCTACTTCCATACGCTTCCGAACATAGATCTGCGTATTGAAAGCTTCTAGCTTACAAGCTCTCTGAATATGCAATGGGGACATGGTGGAGAACGAACACAGCCAAACAATAAACTCCTAGAGGGGTGAACTACCCTCTGCTTAACGGGCTGGAGGAAGATGTGGGAGAGCAAATTTTTCTTGTTTTTACTGCACAATAGTCGCAGTGCACTGAGCAGAACAACCCTCAACCGCTTTACCCGTACCCGTCTAAGAGGTGGAAACCACCCCTAAATTCAAAAGAAGTATTCGAAAAACTTTTAAGACAGGAAACATGCCCCCTGGCATTTTTCAATCTGAGGGAAGGGAAATCTGACAACGATATTGAGTTTGCACAGCAAGACCAACCCTTAAAGGAAGTAAAGAATATACCTGGGCGAGTGGGAAACAGGAATGTGCAGAAGGATGTGGTAAGATAAATTTTTTTCAGTGCGGAATTTATCGTGCTCTCACACACATTCTGTTATGCCTTCTCCAACCCTTGAACATTTGCTCTGCCTTCTATACTTTAATTTTTTCTAATACACACCTTCAATATTCAGCGTAAGAAATAATAACAAAGAGTGAACAAAATAAAAGAAGAACAAACAAAATAGGTAGTTTCCACCTCTTAGACGGATTTGGTCAAAGCAGTTGAGGGTTGGTCTGCTTAGTCTGCGACCATTGCACGTAAAATCAAGAAAAATGTGATCTTCCACATCTTCCTCCACCCCGTCCAGCAGTTAGTTAGTTAGTTTTCACCCCTCTATGTCCGGAAGGGTATAAAAATAGAAGGCATATCAACCCCTTGGCAATAATAAATAAGAACACGAGGGTTGCAAAGCGCCCATTCATACCACCCCTTTCCGTAACGATAGTGATATTCATAACTTTACCCCTATTTAAGGGATACTTTGGCTCTATACAAAAATTTAAAGGGTACACGAATTTTTTTTGAACACGGATTCGAATTCAGCGTCGAAAAATACATAGGAATACCATGGTCAATCATCCAGATCACGACTTTTTTCTTTGTGGGGCTGTGTATATAAACATTTGCCGGATAGTATTAGAAAAAATAAACCTGATAATAAGAGATTAATAATCATAAACAATATCTAATATTTTCTTTCGTTTTGTCGTAAATTATTACTTACTAAGTAAAGTCATTCTAGATGGACAATTTTTAAGAAAAATAAAATAAAGCAATTAAATTTACTTAACCAATTTAATAATAACATAAATTGTTATAAATGAGACAAAATATTCTTGGAAAAACTATATATATGCACGTGTTATGCGTGATTTATTGATATTTTCTTGTGTAATAAAGTTTAAAAAATGCTTCTGTATTTATTTTATTCATTCTTTCGTGGAAATATCTTAGAAATTCCAGATTTTAAATATTACGAAACATTATTTACCTTGTTTTATAAACTATGCCTTATAAACAGTAACTGTTATCGACTGAATGCTAAAATATCTGACAAAATTGAATGTAGAAGTAAAATTATGTATTCAAATTTTTCAATTTATTTTTCAATTAAAACAACCCGCTTGAGCATTATTTATCAAAAAATATACAGGGATGGCCAGAAGTACGGAATAAAATTCATATCTTTTGAATGAGTTAATTTTTTCTAAAACGTCGAAACAAGTTAACTCATTTTGATTTTTTCCCATCTTTCAGTTATATAATAATTAATTTTTCTTCAACCCCCTAACTCCCAGCTAACCCTACTTTTTTTTCAAATGGAAACATAAGGCATGAGGGGGCTCGTTGAAAAGCTTATAGAAAACTGAATTCAGCCATACCAAATAAACAAGTTTTATTTTTTCAATAGCAAGTTTTTTTTTCATTTAGAAATTGAAACAACTAGATAATTTACAAAACTAAACTCAATGTCGCAAATGCTGAAAATGTCCTCCATATACTAGTTGGCATTCTCCAAGACGATAGTAAAAGCTGTCCACAGCATTCTGAATGACTTCAGCTGGTAAATTATGAATCTCCGCCCTAATCTTGTTCTTTAAATTCTCAATATTATCCGGTCTATCCAAGTAGACTCTTTCTTTCAAATATCCCAAAAGAAAATAATCCAGGGGTGTTAAGTCGGGGGATCTTGGCGGCCATTCAACTGTACCCCGTCTACCAATCCAGCGATTTGAAAACATTTCATCTAAGTATCTTCGAACATCAATACCAAAATGTGGGGGAGCGACATCTTGTTGGAACCAAATTCTTTCATTCGGTATATCTGGATCAATTTCATGAGGGAAAATCACAGCTAGAGCAGGTGTCAGGTCAAATGTTAGGAAATCCAGGTAGCGTGCGGCAGTAAGATTTTCTTCAAAAAAGAATGGGCCCAAGATTCTGTTGTTGATGATACCTGCCCATACATTAACTTTCTGTGGATGCTGCGTATGCGATTCGCATGTCCAGTGTGGATTTTCCTGAGACCAAAAGCGATAGTTGCGCCTGTTAACCACTCCATTTAAATAAATCGTAGTTTCATCCGAAAAAAGTACGTCTCGTTGAAAACCATTATTGTCGTCACACCGTCTCATCATTTCTTTACAAAATTGTAATCGCCTATCATAATCGTCTTCCAAAAGCTCTTGGACAAGACATACCTTATAGGGATATTTCTCTTGTTTCAGAAACATTCGAATTGCAGTTCGAGAAGCATCGTGATTGCGGGCCAATGAGACAGTTGAAGTATAGGGATTTTCAACAAGTTCTAATGCAATGTCTAATTTCTTTTCTTCATTCAAAGCACGTGCCCGTCCAGTTTTGGGCAAAGTCTAACATAAAAAAATATATCTTTTTTGCGTTAGCAGTGATAGGTACAGTTTCAAATTCTTTATTTTATTCTGTGCAAATTCATGGAGGATAACACTGAAGATAATTAAATTTTATTTCACTTGTTAAGTAGGTGTTCTATACAACCCCAAAAACCTTGCTATTGAAAAAATAAAACTTGTTTATTTGGCATGGCTGGATTCAGTTTTCTATAAGCTTTCAACGAAAGATGGGAAAAAATCAAAATCAGTTAACATGTTTCGGCGTTTTAAAAAAAATTATATCATTCAAAAGATATGAATTTTATTCCGTACTTCTGGTCATCCCTGTATAGTTTCGCACTTGGTTAAATAAAAATTATACACCAAAAT